GGTCACAGAAGTGCACCAGGCTCCTAGAGGTGGTTCCAATGTTGCCTCTAGCAAACTTAACTGTATGCTGAATGCTTCCTGGGCACCAGGCCCTGTGCCACCGGCTTTGGGAGTATTGTCTCGCTTGAGGTACTTGATGGCCCAGCAAAGTCACTGCCATCACCCCTTTTTAGTAGGTAATGACACCTGGGCTCCTTGGACAGCTCACACAGCGGGCAGTAGTGGATCTCCCAGGAAATCCTGGTGTGCTGAGCCACCAAGCGGGCCTGGGGTTCCCCAAATGGTCTCCCTCTGTGTCCCAGGCAGGCTGATGGCTTCTTGGGCAGAGCATAGGCTGGGGTCAGACAGCTCAAACTCTGATTCTCAGCAGTGCCGGTCACCCTCTGGGGTCTGACACAAGCCTGTTCCTCCCTGAGACGGTGTCCTCATCTAGAGGATGGGAAGAGGTGTACCTGGCCCTGTTTTTATGAGGCTGGGAACGCATGTAATATCGAATCTGTAGCCCGGCTATACTGAGCCCTCAGTTTGTTCCGCCAGTCCCATGCCCTGTGACTTATCTTCCAAGAGCCTGCGGCTGGCGTGGCTCACACCCAGGAGGATCTTCCCAATTTGCCATTGTGCTGCTTTGCAGAGAAGCAGGGCTTTCCTGACTCTCTCTGTGGCCACTGTGTGTCCTGGCCATTTCTGGCCAAGAGAGTAAAATCTAGCATCTTGCTTGGGATGGTCAGATCCCTTCTGGGAGTTGAGGATTGGCAGCAAAGACTTGGGCAGTCCCAGAGTTTTCAAGGTAGAAGCAGCTTATACTCCAGGCCCCTGGCATTAGACAGAGCTTCTTGAGGGCAGGACAGGGCAAGGCCTGCTTACCTGGGCCCACCAGTGCCTGGCCCAGAGGAAAAGAACAGAGCTGGGCTTTAGGCCTGCAGCCAGGCTGGGGCAGAGCAGCTGGCCTGGGGCTCTCTCTTTCTGTCCACATGGTCATCTGGGGGAGGGAGACCAGGAGCCCATCCTGTCCAGGGTCCAGAGCATGGGTAGGCTGGTACTGGGAGAGGCTCCCTGCCAACCACAGCCCCAGCTCCCGAGCCGGAGGAGCTCACCTGTCCCGCATCAGCACCTGCTCCCCCTGCCATGCCTGTGGGGCTTCTCTCTCCCCAGCTTTGGCCTGGCCCCCGCCGCCCCCCTCCAGGTCCACGCGCCACTCAGCCCCAACCAGACAGTGGAGATCTCCCTGCCTCTCAGCACAGTGGGTTCGGTCATGAAGATGGAGCCTCTGAACAACCTCCAGGTGGGTTCTGGGGAGGGCAGGCACCCCAGTCCTTACCCACCCACCAGCTGGGCCCCACTGGGGTCAGCAGTGGGTTGTGTCTGCAGAGTTGCTGTTAGCTGTTGGGGAGGCCCAGTCAGGGAACAAAGGGGTATGTTTACCAGGGAAGGCCCTGGGAGAGAATCTGCTCAGCGATGCCCTTCCTGGGGCCTCAGAGGTAGCATCAAGCCCCAGAGACTGACTGGGGACCCCCTTGTGCCTAGGTGGCTGTGAAGAACAATATCGACGTCTTCTACTTCAGCACCTTGTACCCACTGCACATACTCTTTGTGGAGGATGGGAAGATGGGTGAGTCATGAGGGAGCCCTCTGGGGTGCCTGAAATGGGGCTGTGGCTTGGGAGCCTGGCCAAGGTAGTGCCTTTACCAAGGCCCGGATGGACTGCCTTGCCCGCAAATGGAGTCGGGGAGTCGCTGCCTCCCTGCAGGCCTGGAGTGAGGGGTATACCCAGGACCCCCAGGCCTTAGTGGCCAGTTCTGGTCTGGCAGGTGGGCTGTGCCACATGGAACTCACCCCACTCCCAGGCTCTCCTGCTTGCTCCTCAGCCTTGTCCCACAGGCTACAGAGAGCCCAGGTCATGCCCCACGCCTGGTAACCCCCCGCTCTGTGTCCTTGCTGGAACCCCCAAGAAGGGTGTTGATCACAGCACACAGATGGCCTGCACCCGGCCGCTGGCTGCATGGAGCCCTTGGCCCATGTCATCTCTTGCTTGCCACAGAAGCCCTGCATGGGAGGCTGTGACTTACAAGCAGGCTGCTCACCGAGGAGGAGGAAGGTGTGTGGGGGTGGGGAGGGGAGATTTGAGGCCCGGAGGCAGGAAACCAGGGTCATTTGGAAGCAGCACTGGGGCCTCCGTCACAGAGCGGAGGGTGTGCTCAGGGAAGCAGGAGGGCTGTGCGGCAGCTAGTGCCTGTCGTCAGCTTTCAGGTGGCACAGTAAAGGCCAGACCCATTTCCTGCTGAGCTACAGAGAGCCCACAGGTTTATGAGGGGCCCCCCTCTCATCCCCCCTGCTCACCCTGCAGACCGGCAGATGTTCCTGGCCACGTGGAAGGATATTCCCAATGAGAATGAGGCCCAGTTCCAGATCAGAGACTGCCCCCTCAATGCAGGTGAGGACTCCGAGCACATGACCCCAGCCCCTCGCCTGTACCCAGGCCCCGCACTGACTGGGGCCTCCCACTGCCATGTGTGACCCCACAGAGGCTGCGAGCAGCAAGTTGCAGAGCAGCAACATCTTCACTGTCGCCAAGAGGAACGTGGAGGGCCAGGACATGCTCTACCAGTCCCTGAAGCTGACCAACGGCATCTGGGTGCTGGCGGAGCTGCGGATCCAGCCGGGCAACCCCAGCTGCACGGTGAGAGCCCCGGCACCCACCCTGCGGCCTTGGAGCCTCCTTCGTCCCATGCCAGGGGGTGGTTCTGGTGGAGGACGCGGTCCAAGCATCCCTTCAAGCCTGGCTTGAACCAGAATCAGTTCGGTCCCTGAAAAGGACCTTTCTAGAAAGCTTCCACATCCACCCCGTCAGGTTACCCAGATAAGACACCAGTTGGGTCTCAGAACAGTGAGTTGGACTAGAAGATTGTGTAAAATTGGGCCCTGTGAGGTGGTGAAGTTGGTTTGGCACCCCTGACTGGGTGTGGCATTGCTAAGCATAGGCCCTAGCCCTGTCCTGTGAGTGCCTGCATGCCCAGCTGGGAGGACGTTGGTTCCTAGGAGCCCGAACTTCCCAGCCTTTGAGGTAGACCTGTCAGGGGATGGCTTCCCTGGGGCACATAGTTGTCCTGGAGGTCTGCGCCACTGTTCCAGGGCCCTGGACAGCCCCAAGCTCTGCTTCTCCCCCGCACCCCTGAGTCTCTGGCAGGCATGGCCCTCCAGACACTGCGCCTCCTGGGCCCTGCTGCCAGTGCTGGTCGGTGGGGGGCTGTGGCGTGGCTTCGGTGGTGGTAACTTCCGTCTCCCTGTGTTTGGTTGCTGCATGTCACCTTCCCTGCTGGTGCCCGTGGTGCAGGACTTAGAGGTTAGCAGATCGCTTTCTCTTTCTCCATCCACCCTCCCCAGCCTTGTCTCCTGTCCTGGCCCCCATGCACCCCATGTCTCCTGTCTGCACTCATCTCTTGGCCTCACCTCACCTGGCAGGCTGTAGCCAGGTGGCCCTGACTGAGGTGCTGACACCCCACTTCCACACATTCACAGTGTGCACAGAGGCCTTCCTAGGACCTGGACGGCCCGTGGGCTGCTGCTGACCTGCGGAACTCCATTGTTCCCACTTCCTAACTGTGCCCTGCGGAACCAGTGCTTTAGAGTGGGTGGGTGGGGGCTCCTCTCTCCTCTGCCTGTGATCTCAATCTCAGGCCCCAGAGTGGAGGCAAAGTCTCTACTGTGCCTGCTTCCTACATAGGAAACCAGGAATGAGCCCAGCACCCCTCCACGCTCCCTCCCAGCCCTCCCACACCGCCTCAGGATTTTCTGTCAGGCTTCAGTCCTGAGGACCCCAGACCTCCAGGGACTCTGGGGGGCTGGGCAGCCCTCAGGGTGGGGGCCTCCGGCTCGTGACTCACACTGCTTGCCAGCAGGGCTCTGGGGACTAGGCTGACAGCAGGTGTGTGGGCTGCAAGTATATTTGGTCCACACTCGGCTGGCTGCGATGGCCGCCCCCTCCACTTTACCTCACATCTGTGCCAGGCGCAGCTGCCGCCGGGCTGTGTGCACGCCACGCTATCCCATTGGTTCCTGCTCTCTTCCCCACCCCTTTCCTTCCTGAGACGAACTCCAGGGATGAGTGCTCTCTCCCCGACCCCTCTCTCCCCTGCAGCTGTCCCTGAAGTGTCGAGCGCCAGAGGTGTCTCAGCATGTGTACCAGGCCTACGAGACCATCCTCAAGAACTGAGGCACCGGCCAGCGCCCACCCCAGCCTTCTGCCCGCCCCATCGAGGAGGCCCCTGGGGGTGGCAGCACATCTTCCTCCTCGCAGGAGGGACCAGGCAGGGCTCCTGGCCACCCCGTGGGCTCTGTGGTCCTGATGGCAGCACCCGATCCCTGGGGTAGGGTACCACCCCCTCCTGGGGTGAGAGCGCAGTGCACTCCCGTGCTCCGGGACACCCCTGCTCCTGTGGCTGTGACGTGGGGTTAGGTGAGGAAGGGACCAAAGGAAACAGAGCCAGAGCAGCCACAGAAGCTGTGCCTGAATGGTGAGCATGGAGCTTGCCCCTCTGGCTCACAGCCCCGGCAGCCCCTGGCTCCTTGGAATCTCGGGTTGGTGTTAAAGGGCCCCCCACTGCCACCTCTCATGGGATGGACCCTGCCAACCTGGCCTGGGTGTGCAGGTAGGGGTCCCTTTGGTACCAGGAGAGCTGCTTGCTTAAGGTGTGGGGCTCAAGGAGCTGTAGGTGCCAGCAAAGGGGCAGAGCTGGGTTTGGAGGAGCCCAGGGCCTCCACTGCCCCCTTGCAGCCACCTGGCTGGTGCCCTGCAGCTGTGCCAGTTGGGCCACGGCCTCCCGAGTGCTGACCCGTATGGTCAAGACCAGGCAGAAGCTCCCAGAGCCCCTGTCTTGGGCTCCCACCCCACTGGCAGCTGCACTGTCCCCCACTCCCCACTTCTGCCCCAAGGATGGTCTGTGATACATTCCTCAGTGTCACCTCTGAGCCCAGGCCTCCTGCAACAGAGACCAGGCCGAGGGATGGGGCGGGGCGAGTGGGTGCGCCTCCTGTTTGGGTTTCTTTGGGGTTTCTCTGTAGTGTCTGCTGCCCTCCTCCTGGCCTCCCAGGTTTCAGTTGTGTCTGACAGAGCATTAGGTTTTCCTGTTACTGCTGTTTAATAATAAAGAAAGATTCGGCTTTTGGCAATCACGGACACTTTTTTCCCCTCCACCAAATGTCAGGATTGAAAGCTGCCTCCATGTGGTTGGGGATGGTTTTCTGACCCTACAGTAACTAGATCTAATATATATCATCAGAAAATATATATTGTATGTTTACTCTTATTTTCAGAAAGAGAAAGTGAATAAAAATGATGACATCAAGTGTGTCCCCAGCCAGTGTGTCAGGCCCACGGCTCTTCTGGGCAGGAGTCCCGGGCTGCAGGGACCCCAGGGTCAAAGGCTCCCGTGGTGTGTGCGGCAGCATTCTGAGGACAGCACCTTCCCTCCATCCTATCCTTGGCAAATTGACTGCTGCAGCCTGCTGTCCCTGGCCCCTCTCCTGCCATTGATCCCACCTCCCCCGGAGCTGACGCTGTCTCACCTTGTGATGCTGGCCAGAAGGCTGGGCTCCCCTTGTGGTTTTCCCCAGCTCCCTGTCATCTGGGAGGCTCCGGGGGGCGTGGGAAATCCCCTGATCGGGGCGGTGGCGGGAGAGGGCGTGGGCGTGTGGACAAGGCCAGCCGCCACTGAGGACACCTTGTATGGCCCCAATCCTGGCACTGGCCTAGCTCCCAGGTAAGGGTGGCCAGACCCTAGGCGGGGCTTCGTCAGCTGAGCTGCCTCCTGGCTGGTGGGCCTCAGCCTGCTTCTGAGGGAGGAGCAGCCCAGGTTCCCCTCAGCCTGTTTGAGCCCCAGCCGCTCCCTCGTATTCTGTCTGTACTTAGCTCCCCACACGCTGCCCACCTCACACACACCGCTGCCTTCCTGGCTGCCGGGAACTGGGCGAGACAGCCTGCCCTCTTACAGGGCATCACAGGAGCATCTGGCCCTCCACTGCCCCACCTTTGACCTCTGTGGTGTCACCGTGCTGCCCTGGGGACCCCAGGGTCAAGGGCTTGAGCTGCATGCCCAGCTGTGGCCCCTCCACAGAGTCCAGAACCAACCAAGGTCCTTGACTGCACAACCCTGGTTCTTGCCTCGCCTGAGAGTCTCTGCCCAAATGCAGCTGGAGTCCTTGCCCTGCCATGGAACTAGAGGTTGGTGAACCCTTAATGAGAGGGACTGTCACCCTGCTGTGTCGCCTGCCTCCTCTGAGCTCAACACCTGGGAACACTGCCTGGGAAGCAGCTGCACGGGCCGCCACACCCATGGCCTGCCAGCTCAGCCATTCAGGGGGCTCAGCACTTCACCTCCCCACCCCTCCATCGCAAGGTCTGAAGAGGGCAAGTGTGGGATTGCTGTCCTCACTGGAGGCCCAGGACAAGCCACCTGGGTGAGGAGAGCTGGCGAGAAAGGAGAACCATCCCTAGACACCTGTGTTTGAATGAGTCTGCTCAAGCCTCAGGTGATCGTGAGCGGTGCCTCACCAGTTGGGGCCCTCTTTCACCCCACAGTGCTCAGCATAAGGGAACCCAGCATACACTGCAGCGGCTTAGTCTACACACGGGGAAACTGAGGCAGGCAGGGCCGTTATGCTCCCAGTCCCCCACACTACTGCATCAGGAGAACAGACACACAGGATGCTCCTTTGGGGCCCGGCCTTTAGGAAGAGTGCTTTAGGGCATAGCCAATCTGTACCCTTCAGCTTCCCTGTCCCTCCCTCACCTCTGAGGGTCATCACAGGCCGCCTCCTTCCTGCTCATGTAGCACTTCCTGGTCCTGATGCACTCAGGCCTCCCCGCCTTGCCTCTTGGAGGCCTTGGCATCTGGCAGTTTAGGGAACTTCCCTGGCTTTTCTTGGGAAGATTCCCCAGTGTCTTGAACCTTCCCAGCCAATCAGGAAATCCAACAACAGCAACCAGTTATTTCTGGAGGGTCCAACACATACCCAAGGGCTGATGGGTTCCCCTGTGCAACAGACACCGCCAAGGCTGTCACGGGACCTGGTTTTACATTGTTTAACCTTCAGCTAGTAGTTTGTGTTTGTTTTTATGGAGCGAGTAATTCAGGACCATGGTGAGTGAGGTCAGCCAGACAGAGAATAAAGTTCTCCCTCCCACCCCATCCTCAGTCCTTAGTTTTCCTCCCTTAAAGGCAGACATTGTTGCTAGATTTCGATTTTCATCCAGGGATATTCTGCACGTGTGTATAAGCAAATCCATGTAGAGATTTACTAAACGAATGATGGCCTACCTAGGCACTGCTAGCACATCCCTTCTCTGACCTGACAGTCCTTTCTGAAGCTCTTTCCCCATCTGTAGGAGCAGACCGCCTCAGGCTTCCTTGTGTGAATGGGCCAGCATTAGCCAGTCCCTGCTGCGGGACATTCAGGCTGTTTCTACACCCTAAGCAATGCTGCAGCGAGTACCTCCCACATAACACCCTCTGCTTGGGCAGGGACGTAGCTATAGGATCCAGCCCCGGAACTGCTGAACCAGAGGGTATACCCAAGATGCATTTTCTATTTTTGTTCTTGTTTTGAAAAGGTAACACGTTCACATGGTTCGAAATCCAGAAGACAAAATCGATGTAAAAAATCTACCCCTTTCCCTCATTTTCCTCCCCAAAGGAAACCAATGTCATTATCCAAAGAGACTCAGCTTTGCCTAATGTGGCATTTTTCCCTTCTTATGTAGAAATGGTAGCACAGAATACATGTTAGACTTATATAGCAGAGGTTTTTCCATTATTAACCCATTACGGAGAGTGTCCTCATGCCTTTTTTTTTTTCTTCATTTTTTCATTTTTATTTCTTTTTTGAGATGGAGTCTCACTCTGTCGCCCAGGCTGGTGTTCGATGGCACAATCTCTGCTCACTGCAACCTCCGCCTCCCAGACTCAAGCGATTCTCCTGCCTGAGCCTCCCAAGTAGCTGGGATTACAGGCACCTGCCACCACACCGGCTAATTTTTGTATTTTTAGTAGAGACAGAGTTTCGCCATGTTGGCCAGGCTGGTCTCGAACTCCTGACCTCAGGTGATCCGACCGCCTCCGCCTCCTAAAGTTCTGGGATTACAGGCATGAGCCACCATGCCCAGCTGCCTTTTTTTTTGTTTTTTTTTTGAGACAGAATCTTCCTCTGTCACCCAGGCTGGATTGCAGTGGTGCAATCTCGGCTTACTGCAACCTCCGCCTCCCAGGCCCAAGTGATTCTCATGCCTCAGCCTACCGAGTAGCTGGGATTACAGGAGCACACCACCACACCCAGCTAATTATTTTTTAAATTTTTATTAGCGATGGGGTTTCACCATGTTGGCCAGGCTGATCTTGAACTCCCGATCTCAGGTGATCTCCCCGCCTCAGCCTCCCAAATTGTTTGGATTACAGGTGTAAGCCAACGTGCCTGGCCTTTTTTCTCTTTTTCTTTTCTTTTCCTTTTTTTCTTTTTTTTTTTTTTTGAGATAGGGTCTCAAGAAAATCCAGTCTGTTGCTCAGGCTGGAGTGCAGTGGTGTGATCACGGCTCACTGCAGTCTTAATCTCCCAGGCTCAAGTGATCCTCCCACCTCAGCCCCCAGAGTAGCTGGGACTACAAGTGCGCACCACCACACCCAGCAAATTTTTGTATTTTTTTGTAGACAGGGTCTCGCCATGTTGCCCAGGCTGGTCTCAAACTCCTGGGCTCAATAACCCGCCTGCCTCAGCTTCCCAAAGGGCTAGGATTACAGGCGTGAGCCATCGCGCCTGGCCCTTCCCGTGTTTTCAGTGTGTCTCTTTGCATGTGTTTTTGAGCCACTTGTATGTCCCTTTCTGTGAGCTGTCTTCACATTTTGGGCCATTTTTCTATCTGATTATTGATCTTTTTCTTACTGATTTACCATTATTCCTCCCTATTTTGTTACTGCTTTTTACTTTTCCATGCTGAAATTGGGCTTTTTAAGATGTAATTTTCTTTTAATTTTTTCTTTCTAGTACTTGTCTGCTCTTCATTTTTGCATTTCAATCCTGTTCCATCTGGGCTTTCTGTAGGAATGAGGTAGGGATCCAACTTCCCCTTTTCCCCAGATGGTTCCCCACTTGTCTCCATGCCATTTACTGAATAATTCATCTTTTCCCCACAGATTTGAAATGCCATTTTTATCATATTCTAAATTTCCACATATATTTGGGTGTTTTTCTGGACTCTGTTCTATACCAGATAATTTGTCTATTCATGTTTTGATAACTTTTATTTTTATTTTTATTTATTATTTTTGAGACAGAGTCTCACTCCTGTCACCCAGGCTGTTGTGCAATGGCTTGATCTGAGCTCACTACAACTTCCACCTCCCAGGCTCAAGTGATCCTCCTGCCTCAGCCTCCCAGGTAGCTGGAACTACAGGTGAGAGCTACCACACCTGACTAGTTTTTGTGGTTTTTGTAGAGATAGGGTTTCCCCACATGGCCCAGGCTGGTCTCGAACTCCTGAGCTCAAGTGATCCACCCTCCTCAGCCTCCCAAAGTGCTGGGATTGCAGGCATGAGCCACCATGCCCAACCATTTTTTTAATTTTTGAGTCAGGGTCTCACTCTGTCACCCAGGCTGGAGTGCAGTGGCACGATCATAGCTCACTGCAGCCTCGAACACCTGGGCTCCAGCAATCCTCCTGCTTCAACCTCTCAAGTCATTGGGATTACAGGTGTGAGCCACAGCTCCCAGCCGTGTTTTGATAACTTCTTGTACCCTCTTATTCCCATTTCATTCTATTTGAACTTTACAACTAGTTTGTCTTTAAAAAAAATTGATCATATTATTTGGATCACATCAAATGTTTACATTAATTTATGGAGAATGACCTTCTTGTAATGATGTCAATAACAATATTGGCTCTTTATATGTAAAGAACAGGAGTAGATGCTTTCCCATTGATTCAGGTTTTCTTTTATGTCTCTGTAATATTTTTTCTTCATGTAAAAGTTCTTTTTTTTTTTTGAGATGGAGCCTCCCTTTGTCACCAGGCTGGAGTGCAGTGGCATGATCTCGGGTCACTGCAACCTCCGACTCCCTGGTTCAAGCGATTCTCCTACCTCAGCCCCCCAAGTAGCTGGGATTACAGGCACACACCACTACGCCCAGCCAATTTTTGTATTTTTAGTAGAGACGGGGTTTCACCATATTGGCCAGGCTGGTCTCAAACTCCTGACCTCAAGTGATCTGCCCGCCTCAGCCTCCCAAAGTGCTGGGATTACAGGCGTGAGCCACCATGCCTGGCCGCCTGTTTCGTTTTTTTATTCGTGTTTCACTAGTTTTCCATTTGTGTCCTCCTGCTGTTCCAGAATCCCACATTCCACGTGGGACTCATGTCTCCTTATATCTGTGAGAGTTTCTCAGATATTCTTGGTGTTTCATGACCTTGACTGTTTCAAGGAGTCCTGCTTGGGCGTTCTGTAGAAGGTCCCTCAGTTTGGCTTTGTCAAGTGCTTTTCTCGTGATCAGCCTGGGATTATGGTTTTTTAGAAAAAATACTACACAGATGCCTTTCCCTTTGCATCATAATCAGGGTGACATTCTATCGACATTTCTTGTCACCTCACGTTTGCCTGGATCGCCTGGCCAAGGTAATGTTTGCATGTTTGCAGTTTTCTCTACTGTCAAGTTACTTTTCCCTCTCTTTTTTATTTTATTTATTTTTTAAGACGGTCTCATTCTGTCCTCCAGGCTGGAGTGCAGAGGTACTCACTGCAGCCTTGACCTCTGGAGCTCAATTGATCCTCCCACCTCAGCCTCCCAAGTAGCTGGGACTACAGTCACACACCACCACACCTGGCTAATTTTGTTCATTATTATCATTTTTTTATTTTTAGTAGAGAGGAGGTCTCACTATGTCGCCCAGGCTGGTACTGAACTGGGCTCAAGTGATTCACCAGCCTTGGCCTCCCAAAGTGTTGGGATTACAGGCATGAGCCACCGTGCCTGGCCATCCTCCTTTCTGTCTTCTTTGGAAGCAAATAAGTAAATGCAGCTTACACTTTGGAAAGCGGGGTGGGGGAGTAGCTACATGAAAGTGTTTGGAATTCTTCTTTAAGGAAGACTTGTTTCTTCTCAGACGTATTTTTTTTTCCCTGGGAGCAAGCAAGCTGAATGATCACATTTATTTATTTATTCAGTCATTTATATCAGTTTGGACTCATGGATATTTATTTTATAATCTGAGCTTAATCCCATATAACATTATTTACTTTGTTGCTTGAATTGCTGCAGGTTTGGCCACTGGGAGCTCCTTCCGGAAGGTTCCTATGTCCCTGTGACATACCACCATCCTCGTTTTTGGGCATTTCCTTCCTTTCTGCCACCATAAGTTGCTCCAGGATCATCTTGTACTGGTCCTGCCCCATCCCTAGAAGCAGTCATCTCTC